AGAGAAAAGGCAGTGTTTACATTGACCCTAGGGACACCTCCAAGTGGCCACTGGAGGGGCTTCCTGGCTCAGGGCTACACAGTAAGCAGCTCTGCCATTCAGCGCCCCACGCTCTGCATGGGGATGCTGAATTTTATTAAAGGACACGGAGGCTCCTATTATGCTTTCCTCTTTCTTTTATTCTTCAGAAGCAAAAGAAATATAGTATATATATTCAATGCAAAAAAAAAAGGAAAAACAATTCAATAACACCACATCATAACTTCTAAAGGGTTAATCAAATACCACATATGAACCAATCAGAGTGTCCCCATTACAACAAAGTCCCATGTGACCCTAAGCCACTCCTCTTTCTTTTGCTGCTGCAGCCTCAGATAAGTACAAAATTTTTCCTTCCTCTGTTGCTGACAGTTATTAGCTTTGTTTCAGTCAGTTTACCTTTAAATAATTTTTCTTTTCCCTCAGGGTTAATATGTGTTTGTAATCCCTTTGGTTTGTCTCTTTTGGGTCTTTGCCCTCACTGTAGTATTTCCCTCTCTATCTTCCCAGCCCCCCCCTCCTACCTCCGGTCGGGTTGTTTATTTCCCGACCGTTTTTCTCCTCTTGCCACCCACTCCCCTCTGGGGTTTTCTCTCCCCTCGCACGGGTACCGCTGCCGGTCGCGGTCCCGGTGGTCCGCGGTAACCGCGGTCGCTCGCGCATGCGCACAACACAAGTGCGCAACGCGGCCATCTTGGGAATGGCAGTTTTGCTGCGCTTTTACTAGCGCGGCCAATACTGTGCGTTTGGGGGCGGGACTTACTCCCTGTTGTTGGGCAAACTCTCCCTGTGTTCCCCAGGAGCTTATTCCTGAGGGAACACTGTGAGCTTGCTGCATTTGTTGATTCAATTGTATATTTCTGCTGTGCCTTGCTCACATTGGTGTCTGGTGCCTGCTAGTGTATTTTCTCATTACTATAGTTGGGAGTTAGCCACTCTATCAATTTGCTGCAGGGGTATAAGTCTCAGCCTTGCCTATATTTACTGCCCGTCCATCCCAAACATGCAGGCTGAACACAATGCTTATAGTGCCACTACACCTAGAGCCACCATGCCCACCCCTCCCCTACAGGGCCCCAAAATGCCCACTTCGTTGGACACAGCGCAGGAGCATATGGACTCAGAGGAATTGCATTCCCTCTTAGACGCGGCTATGGCGAAGTCTGTAACGCAGGCCATAGTTACTGCCACGGGTGCCATGTCAGAGAATTTATCCCATTCCATAACCACGGCGATGAGAGCCATGCAATTACCAACTAACCCCTTGGCTAACCCTCCAGAGAATAAGCAGGTGGCCCCTAGCGGGCGTAAGGCCGCTATAAAGTCTCGTCATTTGGACGACTATGCCTCCAAAACCCTACAGACGGACAGGGCACGTCCTGTCACAGAACCTGTGGTTGGACCACAACTAAGGGCCCCCCACCGGGCAAAATCGGTGAGGAAATGGAAGAGGGCTAAGGCCCTACTGGACTCTGAATCGGAGCTAGAGGAGGCTCAGAGCGAGTCCGAAGAGGAGGACTCTGATGATTATAATGAGGACTCTACGGAGTCTCACTTGCGGGACTATAGCTCCGTCACGGGCACGGACATGGACCATAAAAACGGAACTGACGACTCAGCTTTGGTTGACCCGCAGGGCGAACCATTGTTTGACCCGGATACCCTACAGCACCCGAGGTCCTCTGAGTGGTACCCTCTGGACCACGTAGCAAAATATATTGCTGCCCGCATCAGAAAGCCACTGGATAAGGTGGCGCGGAACAAACTGCGGGCAGAGTGCCCACGCCCCATGGTCCCGGATATGGCATGCGCCACCCCGGAAGTGGACCCAAAAAATCACCCAATTCCTAGGAAAATCTGGCTGGAAGGCCAAGAAGGGCCTGGATTTTGCCTGGCGAAATTGCCAGGATAAGGTATTGGACATCCTTGGCCCGATCGCGAGGATGTTCGATATGATCGAAATCGCGTTGGCGGGGGGGTGCACCGCTGGACCTGGAAGCCCTCAGGGGGTGGATCCAACGTGCCGTGTGCTTCCTGGGCAACGCGAATACGGCAGTGGCCACAGAAAGGCGCAAGGCGATTTTAATAAAAATTGAGCCTAAACTAGTTAACCTGGCAATCTCAGAACCAGGTCCCCAGGCTAAAGCCCTCTTATTCGGGGATAACTTTGTGAAAGAACTAGGCACGTATGTGGGCACCTTTACGGCACTTGATAAGGCTCAAGCCAGCATGAAACGAGTGTTCCATCAGAGGGTTTTTGGCGGGGCCGGCAGATATCGGGGCCGTCTGCCCGGCCGCTCGCCCCGGGGCTCGTACCGGGGCTCTCATGGCTCAGTGCAACCTCGATTCACACCCCCGGAACCCAAGCAAGCCTCACCATTTTTCCCGGTTCGAGGCAGACCGTGGCAAACCCGAGGACCCAGAGGCTCTTCATATGACCTTATGGTAAGTGCGCTACCTCCTCATATGTCTGCATTAACTATGGTGGGGGGCAGACTAGGCCATTTTGTCAAAGCATGGCACATGATCACGGCAGATGCCTGAGTGCTCCACGCGGTCCGGGGTTATTCTATAGACTTCGTACAATACCCGATCCAACTGGAACCCCCCGGCCGAATGGTGTTCCCCACGCGGGACCGGGAGTTGATAACTCAAGAGGTAGGCCTTAGCCTCCAAGGGGGCAATCTATACTGTTCCCTCTACCACACCGGGTAGCAACCTATTCTTGGTACCCAAAAAAGGCGGAGGTGTTCGCCAAGTCATCAACTTGAGACCTTTAAACATGTTTGTCACGTACCACCACTTCAAGATGGAAGGTATACACTCCCTCCGGGACCTCTTCCTCACAGGGGACTGGATGGTCAAACTCGACTTGAAGGACGCATACCTCACGGTCCCAATGGCCGACGACTGCCACCACTTCCTGCAATTCCGCTGGGAAGAGAACGTGTGGCGATTCCAATGCCTACCGTTCGGCCTCTCATCGGCTCCCTGGTGCTTCACAAAGCTCATGAAACCAGTGGTGGCCCTCCTACGCAGCAGGGGCGTATGACTCATAATATACCTGGACGATATCCTCATCATGGCCCAGGACCCGCTTCTGTTGCAAGAACATTTCTCTTGGACGACAAATCTGTTAGAAAACCTGGGCTTTCTGATCAACTGGGAGAAGTCGGTCATCGAACCCTCGCAGGCTATAGAGTTTCTGGGATTCACCATAAACGCGGTGACCGGAACACTCCTACTCCCAACGACCAAGGTCAAGGCCATCAAAAAGGAGCTCAGGCGGACGCTCGCACGTCCTGTCCTTACTTTGAGACAGCTGGCCAGGATTGTGGGCCTCCTCTCGGGGTCAATTCAGGCCATTTTCCCCGGACCCCTACATTACAGAGCACTTCAACGGTTGAAGGCAAAATACCTTCGTTTGGGGCACTCATACTCCGACTCTGTTCCTCTCGACTGTGCCGCCAAAGAGGAAATCAAATGGTGGCTACAACACATGGAGGCCTGGAATGGCCGCGCGATCTTTTGAACAGCGCCGGACCTCGTAGTAGAATCCGATGCCAGCTTGCTCGGTTGGGGTGCGCGCTGCGGACCTTTCTCCACCAGAGGAAGATGGTCCAGGGAGGAACAGGGACTTCATATCAATTGCCTCGAACTGTTGGCAGGTTCGTTTGCTTTACGGAGTCTTTTGAACGTGTCAACCAACTGTTCCATCCTGTTACGCATGGACAACGTGTCCGCGGTTCGATATATCAATCACCTCGGGGGCACGAGGTCAGCAATACTTGCGGAATTGGCGAAGGATTTCTGGCAGTTCTGCCTGGACCGCAACATATCAGTGCAAGCGGAACACATCCTGGGGATGAGCAATGTAGTAGCGGATTGGAACTCCAGACATCTACGGGATGCCAGCGACTGGCGGCTGAAACCGGCCATTTTCTGCCATTTGCAATCACTACGGGGGCCGCTGGACATCGACCTGTTCGCGTCACGGCTGAACACGCAGTTACCGAAGTTTTTCAGTTGGAGGCCAGATCCGGAGGCTCTGGCGGCAAACGCTTTCCGACAACCGTGGCTGCACACCAGACATTACGCTTTCCCCCCTTTTCTCTCATCGCACGGACCTTGCTGCACCTCAGACGACGCCGGACATCCCTAATCCTTGTATCTCCCTTCTGGACGTCTCAACCCTGGTTCCCTACACTCCTGGAACTGTCCATAGACCTACCGAGATTACTGCCAGTACACGACAACATCCTCCTGGATCCCTATGGCAATCCGCACCCTCTCATACTACAGGGACATCTCAAGCTTTTGGCATGGCTCTTTTCAGGGGACTCGAGGACACCCGAAATGTTCCACAAACGACTCTGGACCTCCTGGCAGGAGCTTGGGCCACTGGTACAAGGAAATCATATTTACATGCCTGGAACGCATGGTATGGTTGGTGCGTGGAACAACACGTGGATCCCATATCTGCAACTGTGAGTCACGTCCTGGGTTTCCTTACTTCACTTTTCGACCACGGCCTGGCGTATCGTACAATTAATCTCTATAGATCAGCTATCTTGGCAGGCCACGTAGGTTGGAATGGAATTCAAACAGGGAAACACCCGTTGGTGTGTCGACTCCTACGAGGCATAAAATTTGCACAACCACCATGACCTCGGTATTCCGAGTTATGGGATGTGAACCTCGTTCTCCGACTTTTTGAAAGTTGGCTGAAGAACGGAGATTTGTCGATCAAACAACTCACCGCAAAATTAGCCACTTTGTTCTGCCTCATCTCCTGTAAACGGGTCTCAGACGTACGAGCATTGGACATTCAGGCACGCTCATATACACCGGAAGGGGTGGCCTTTGATATATCGAGATGACGAAAACATCCATCACGAAGGTTTTTTACCCCGCTTTTCCACACAACAGTAACTTATGCCCAGTAGCCTGCCTTAAGGAGTATGAAGCAAGGACGGCTGCGGTCCGAGACCCTCAATGTGCGGACCTATTCCTGACCATTCGACAACCGCATCGTCCAGTTTCTACAGTCACCCTATCTAGCTGGGTCAAATGGATCATGACGTCGGCAGGCATTGATACTTCCACATATGGAGCACATTCAGTGAGGGGTGCAATGGCATCAAAAGCGTTTTCATTAGGCTGTAAATTGGAAGATCTCCTCCGAACTGCCGATTGGTCGAGAGAATCTACATTCCATGAATTTTATTTCCGTCCGGTTTCCCATTTTTTCACGTCAGTGATCACACAGCTTTGAACTAGCATAATAGTAGCCTCCGTGTCCTTTAATAAAATTACCAGATTTTACTAATTTCATGACGTAAAGTCATGATTTTATAAAGGATACGGAGGCGAGTATTATCCCGCCCACGAGAGGTAAGTTGACCGCCGCTGGGAATATAATGTATGTTATGGGAATGGAGCCGTGTGATATGTGCTATCTTATTGCCTTTGAGTGACTAACTTGAGAATGATTTTGTGCTAGATAGTTTGGATTATGAACGTGGAAAAATACTATCCAACAACATTTTACCATCTCGTTTCTCTGTTTTACAGCTTCCTAATTGGAGTGCCATAATGGTTTCAGGCATGCCCACAAGTGTGCGGATGGAAGATGACCAGTTTTTTCTTACGGATTTGTTGAGTTTTCGTCTGACATCATTTTCTATTGGATTCGCTGTTTTTCTTTACACGTCCACTGTTTGTTTTTTCACTGCCGAAATTTGGAGTGTCCATCAGCAACACCAAAAGAAAGAGGAGTGGCTTAGGGTCACATGGGACTTTGTTGTAATGGGGACACTGATTGGTTCATATGTGGTATTTGATTAACCCTTTAGAAGTTATGATGTGGTGTTATTGAATTGTTTTTCCTTTTTTTTTGCATTGAATATATATACTATATTTCTTTTGCTGCTGAAGAATAAAAGAAAGAGGAAAGCATAATACTCGCCTCCGTGTCCTTTATAAAATCATGACTTTACGTCATGAAATTAGTAAAATCTGGTAATTTTCCTCAGAGATGCATTGATTCAATGCATCTCTATGAGGAGGTGCTGATTGGCCAAAACGGTGTTTGGCACACCCCCTTTGTCGATTTTAGCCAATCCAATGTTTTCAACATGGGAAAGCATTGGATTGGCTAAAAACCAGCAATTTTGATGGTGTCACCAAGGGGGCATGGCGAGCGTCAGCAGACCTGTGGGGAGCTGAAAATAAGGTGAATTTTATGGCAAGACAGGAGGCTTCATATTTGCTTTATCTTTCTTTACTGAACCTCCCAGCAGCAAAGAAATAGTTAACAAGTATATGATGTCAAACTCCTCCCATATCCTCTTTCTTTGCTGCTTGCCTCCTAGGTGAGTCTGTTCCAATTATATTGCCTTTGGTTTTTGCCTTTTAGTGCAATATTTGAACAAATTTTCTACTTAATTTGGTATTTTTTATAGCTCTATACATCCTATTATCACTAAAATTATTTTTCTCTGGTAAATGTTACATCTAACATTCATACTCATTTAAATTCATAACACTACTTTATTTGGATAGTACTCCCACAATTGTACCTAACATATACGTTTCACTTCTGTGTTTTTTGTGCTAAATCTTTTAATTCATCGAGGGTATTCCTTTAAATCAACGGAGGCTTGTCTCCCCGCGATTTTTATTATATTTGCGAGGACCCCGCGATCACATGGACGGCATAGCTGTCCAAGGCATTGCCCGCAGGGGGAGTGCCTGTAATGACAGGTACTCCCCCTGCTGTCTGAAAATAAAATTAAAAGATGTTAAAACAGTGTAAAATTAAATATATACTTAGATCATATATATTATATATATGATCTAAGTGTATATATATATATATATATATATATATATATATACACACACACACACACATATATATATATATATACACACACATAAATACACATACACTGTCTATGTGTATTAAAATATTAATATATACATAATTATATATATATATATATATATATATATATATATATATATATAAAAATATCAAAATACACGTACAATGATATTGATTAAATATATTTTAATTTTATATATATATATATATATATATATATATATATATATATATATATATATATATATATATATATATAAATAAATAAATCCATAAAAATGTTAAAAAATAAAAGTAAAAAATTAAAAATAGATAAAAAATATATATACATGCGTAATTTCGTTCTAACTGTATTTTAAAATTAATATATATATTGATATCAAAATACATGTAGAACGAAATAATATATATATCTATATACATAAGTATATACCCAAACCCTTATAACTAATATCAATGAATTAAGCTATGTTGACCAAAGACCAGTTTTAATAACAATGGATGTTAGCCTATATACGGTGATACCACATGATGCTGGGGTGGAAGCTATGCGGCAAGTTTTGACTCAATCCACTACTTATCATGGTCCCCCCATAGAGTATACTTTGGAACTACTTACTTTGACTCTACAGAACAACTACTTTCGTTTTGAAGATAGTTGGTACCTGCAAGTGGCTGGCACATCAATGGGTGCATCTATGGCGCCTATGTACGCCGATGCGTATATGTACATCTATGAGAAGGAGCACATATTAGAGAAATACCAACGCAATATATTAGCTTATTACAGGTTTATTGACGACCTGTTCATCATATGGAGTGGAACATGTGAATCAGCCCACGAAATGGTTCGAGAACTCAATCTCCTTTCAACACCAGTAAGATTTACTGCGGATATTAGCACTGAGAAGGTGCACTATCTGGATTTGGAAATCTCATTGGGAGCAACAAACTTACAATATTCTCTCTATACAAAGCCTACGGACAGAAATACACTCCTTCATTACCAAAGTGCACATCCCAGGGCTCTGAAAAATTCATTACCGAAGGCACAGTTCCTAAGAGTAATCAGGAACAACTAGGATGTGGCAACTAGAGATACCCAGATCCTTGAAATGAAAAATATATTTTCTCAAAGAGGATATGATAGGTACATCTTGGATGCAGCGCTACAAGAAGCACTGAGTGCACGCGCTACTTAAGTAAAGAAGAAACCTTCTAGTTTGGTTTTCCCTATGGTATACAATCAATCCACTCCTCAAGTGGCATCAGTCATCAGGAAAAATTGGAGAATCTTGTCAAGTGACGACACATTTCCGAAAGTGTTTAAAGAAAGGCCATTAATTTGTTATAAGAGAAATAGGAATATGTTAGTACATACGGATACTTCCCAAAGTTATATGAATACTGCGAAGGAACAAATAAGAGGATCAGTTCGCTGTCTTGGCTGTGTGACTTGCAGTCACATGACACCTGCAAGAACTTTTGGTCATCCTCATAATAACAGAAAATACACTATTCGATATACCATTACTTGCAAGACGACACATGTGGTATATAAACTATCTTGTCCCTGTGGCTTGTGTTACATTGGGAAGACGGAGACGGCTATCTGCGAACGGATCAGAGGACATAGATCCTCTATTAGATTGGCATATAGAGACGGTTGTTCAGATAAACCTGTTGCAAAACACTTTTTTGAATTAAAGCATCCATTGGCTGCATTGAAGTTTATGGCCATTGACCATATCCCTGTCCGTAGAAGAGGAGGTGATAGGGGGAAGATGCTACTCAACAAAGAAGCATATTGGATACATGAGCTGGACACGGTGTCCCCAAAAGGACTAAATGAAGCCTTATCTTTGCACTCTTTTTTATAATTAATTTGGCCTGGACGCCCCCTAATGTTATTTTAATGTGTGGTTCTATATTTAATGTTGTCCTATATGCATTTTTTATTGATGATTTTGCTGTCGTCCTCTAATTAGATACTATATTGTATGTATGTTTAGCGAAAGCAGGCATCAGTAGTCATCCTTAAGAGTTTGATATATATGTCCCGATGCCGGACACAATAGTATCACTAACCAATATTTTGAATTTATATATTTTTTGAGTGACAGATGAACAAAATTCTTCAGTTTTATTGATTTACTTATTATATTTTTTCATTCATTATTCTTATATATGTATTTAGTCATTAGGATTACTTGAATACTGTAATTTGGATTAGGTCATAGTATATTCACTTCAGCACTTTGGCACTTTATTACTTACATGTCTATGGCACTTTAAGTAACACTTGATCTTGCATTAGCACTTTTTAAGACTATTCAGCACTTTATTTCCTTTACATAATATAGTCCACACACAAACTTGTCCTATGATGTTCACTGGTGTTTTTATTATCATTTTATTAGTTATTTCACAATATGTTATTATGGTAACATTATTAGAGGTGGATCACTGTTTGGTACATATGCCTAGTACATATTGGTGATCGCAATATTTTACTGTTTATATTTAGCTGCGTTACCGTGGTAACGACGGCTTTGCACGCATGACGTCACGCTCGGGGGCGGAGTTTATCCCTGCACACACTTCCGGTTTGGACGCCGGTCACAGCACGGAGCACCTGTGGTGAGTCTATTTGCAATCTATCATACCCTATATATAGTCTTATTGTTTGTTATATGCTGTTTTCATAATCCTGATGAAAGTCCTCAAGTAGGACTGAAACGTCGATTTTTAAGGAAGGTTCAATAAAAGTTATTTTTTAATGAATCCGTGAGTGCAACCTTTGATACTACCAGTTATATACATAAGTATATACGTATATATGACTATATATACCTATATATAAATAAAAAAATTATATATATATATATATACACACACACAAATATATACATATATATACACACACACAAATATATACATATATACATATATATATATATATATATATATATATATATATATATATATATATACACACACACACAAATATATATATACATATATATATATATACACACACACACACATATATATACATATACATATATATATATATATATATATACACACACATATATATACAAAAAATGAATGGGCAAGGCACTCCACCCAAAAAGCTCAAATGCCTGGGTGCAATCCCGCGTTCCAATATATATAAAAATCAATAAAGGGAGCACACCAGGACTTCAGTAAAGTGCAAAAAGTATTTACTGTATCCAAAACATGATACAAATTCTGTGTGGAGAGAATCAACGTTTCGACCCTGCCGGGGTCTTTATCAAGATCACAGTGAAATGTGGTTATGGTGAATAATATATACATACAAATAAAGTGTCGCTTACCAATCAGATAGTCGAGACCCCGATCAGCTACAGACACCGGAAGTGAGAAGACCACGTGAACAGTGCATATCATGTGACTGGGTTACTGAGTAATCTGAGTGATAATGCTACAAACAGAAGATCGGGTAGCCGGCGCCGCCGTGATACCCGGAAGTGCTCCAGACCACGTGGGGGTGGTCATGTGACAGAGAGTCATGTGACAAGGTTGCTAAGCAACCAGTCTAACAATGTCTAATTCTTCCTTCTCTAACCGGAGATCGAAGAAGCAGATAGCGAGTACTACATATGGAGGACAGAATCAAGTAAAAACCCCACTATAAGGATGATCTATAGGTGACAAAAAGTGCAAAGTGCAGAGGATCATATGCATGTGCAAAACAGTGAGAGGAATATATATAAACTACAAAGCAGATCAATCCCAGGTGGGGAATAGAAAGTCACTATTACATATACAGAATTCTAAATATATACATATATACATCAACAGTGCATTATACTGTGTTATAGTCTACCCAATAGTAAAACAATATATCTCTTATAAGTTTACTGATGTTTGGTCTATTGAAATCCAAGCAGGAGCATAAAATATACTACACACGCTGTGTGTGTATAAAGTCAGGACTCTGAGTCCTAAGTGTGTATTACTGAGCTCTACTTCCTATTTGTCAGACGGCACTGACCAAATCTTATCTACCTTTACTTTCCATGGTGAATCTATTGTTGAATATATGCAACAAATGGATAGAAAAGTATACTCAAGAAAAGTATACAAAAGAATAAATATGTACAGGGAAAATCCAGATTCTACAGAAAAACTACGTATTGTGTTGCTACCCTAGATATGTGAACAAGAGTGGGCATCAACAATATATATTGTATCATGTTAAAGGAACATCGAGAGAACTAAATGTTCATTAAGTCCCTTCGGGGTTACGGTATTTAGGTGATGTATCCAGTAGGCTTCACGTTGGAGTAGCAACTTAGATCTATCACCTCCTCTAGGTGGTATCGGTACATGGTCAATGGCTATGAATCTGAGAGTAGGCAGATGGTGTTGTGTTGATAAAAAATGTTTCGCCACCGGTTTATCCGTTTTTTGATCTCTGTAGGCTGTGTTGATTCCCGAGCGATGTCCCCTAATCCGATCTCTTAAAGTCATGTCGGTCTTCACAACGTAGGCTAAGCCACACGGACAAGTAATCATGTACACTACATATGTTGTCATACATGAAATATAGTGCTTGATGGGGATGCGTTTACCACTGTGCGGATGTACAAATGTGGTTCCAGTGAGCATATGGCCACATGTAACGCAGCCGCTACATTTGTAGCAGCCTTTCTTTTGGATTTTTGGCATCTTGGCATAGCATACTCGAGGATCATTCTTAACCAATAGATCTCTCAGGTTCCGATTTCTTTTATAACTGATGATAGGATTGACTTTAAATTTGTCAGAAAGATTTTGGTCCACCTGGAACATATTCCAATGTTTACGAATGCATCTTTTGAGGAAGGGAGTTGCAGTGTTGAATGTGATGGGAAGGAAGATATTATTCTTCTTCATAGGGCTTATATTATTACTTTGATTGTATTTCTTCCAAGCATTCATCATAGCTTTTTCCAGGACTCGTGGATGAAAGCCCCTTGTCAGGAAGCGATCCCAAGCTTCCTGGAGCTGCTGATCGCAGTTAACTGGATTACTATTATACCTCATAACCCGGAGGAATTGTGAGATAGGTAGTGAGTCCTTGACATGCTGAGGATGGAAGCTAGTTGCAGACAACAGTGTATTCCGATCTGTTGTTTTTCGAAATAAAGTAAACCCTAATTGATTTTCAGTTTTAAATATCTTCACATCCAAGAATTCAATGCTGTGTTCATTCCAATTCAGTGTTAACCTAACTGGTATGGGTAAAGTGTTGATCTGCTGAACCATCTCTTGAAGTGTGGATACAGTGCCTTCCCAGATCACAAAAATATCGTCCACAAATCTAGCATATTTAAGTATATATGGCTGATATTGCTGTAAAATGTACTTAGCTTCAAACCAGTACATAAAGCCATTGGCATAGGCTGGTGCCATGGCTGCGCCCATGGCAGTACCCGAGGTTTGAAGGTAGAAGCCATCTTCAAATTTAAAATAATTACATGATAGTGCAATATCCAGCCATTCCATCAGATAAGAGATATGTGGACCACTATACGTGTCATCATTAGATAGAATCTCGGCGATCGCTTCAATTCCTTCTTTTTTCGGAATTATTGTATAAAGACTTTGGACGTCCATCGTAGCCAAGATGATCTCTTTGTTTGTAAGATCAATATCTTGTATCTGACTGATAAAGTGTTGTGTGTCTTTCAGACAAGTTGGAAGTTTTCTCACGCTGTTATTGATATAATAATCAATAAATTGAGCAATCGGCTCAATTAACCCACCTTTGGCTGATACAATTGGACGGCCAGGTGGATGCACCAAGTCCTTGTGGATCTTTGGTACTGTGTACATGACCGGATGTTTTGGGTATTTAACGAACAAAAATTTAGCAGTCCTTTCATCAAGGTAACGATGTAGCAGACCTTCACCTATAAGTTTTTCAATCTTTTTTTGGAATTTTGCAACGGGATCAAAGGTAAGTCTTGAGTAAGTAGCTGTATCCTGTAATTGTCGCAGGATTTCTCCCCTATAGTCCTCATAGGTTTGTATCACTATAGCTCCGCCTTTATCGGCAGGCCTAATGATAATAGTAGGATCCTGGATTAAATCCTTCAATGCTGCATGTTCTCCCTTGGTTAGGTTATCCCTGTAATGTGGTGGAGTAGTTACCATAGGGTCGATCTCGTGCCTTATAACCTGCATGAAAGTCCTAATCGAGTGACTAGGTGTGTAGATGTCTTTCTTATACCGATTAGGAAAAGTATGTATCGTGGTGAGACATTCATCCCTTTTGATGTCATGGCTGTATAAAGTTCTTTGCATTTTATATAAATCAATAGCCATCTCAAACTTTCTAGGTTTGGCCACGGGTATAAATGTAAGGCCCTTTTGTAAAAGCGACATATGGTTATGATCCAGGATCTTATTAGAGAGATTAAAGATGGATGTTACTTCCGTTGTCTGGGAGGTTTTCCCATGGCTCCTATATTTCTTGTTACCCTTTTGTCCACGTCTAGGGCATCTCTTTCGTCTCTTCGATTTTGTTCGTTGGTCTTGGTTACTCGTGGCGGGTCGTTTACATGTCTCCCATCCTTTAAAAAAGGCACCTGTCTTTCCACTTGAAGGTCGGTCCTTTTTTCCCCATCTGAGGCTGATTCCCCCGAGCTTATATCCACTGTTTGTAAGGCAGGTTTTCTGATGCATGTCCTAAATCTAGGAGTAGGATTCCGTGTATTAGAGTCTGACCCGTTTAACCAGCGGTAGACCTGATGAAACTTGTAATCGTGGTTCACCTTTTCAACTTTTACTTTTTTAAAACGAATCAGTTCATTTTGATATTTCTGAATATCGTCTTGTAGTTTAAGCATAAATTCAGTAGGTGGCATAGTCTGCAATGCTGTGACATGAGTCAATTCAAATTCCTGTATTGATTTCTTCACCTGAAGCAATTCTATTCCAACTTCTTCAATCACTATTACCATCCAATCAAGAGAGCATTTATTCGATATATTCATCCATTTCTTACAGAAGTTGGGATTCTGTCTCCCTATAGTTGGAGCGTTCTTTATCCGAAAACCTCTTGGAATGCGTTTGGATCTGTAATAATCTGACAAAAAGACCCCATGTAGGTCCAAATCCACCTCTCTCTTTTTTAATCTCGATAGGTCATTGTATAGGTCTTTTGCCGTGTGTATGTGAGGTAAGTCTTGGGAGCTACGTGGCCACAATACCAATTGTGCTTGCTCATCCGTAATAGATAAAGTTTCTGCTGTTTCTGATAATGCTCCAGCCTGGTGTAAAAAATCCTCCATATTAGATGGATCCTGATGGTGGTGAAAATCACTGTTTAGGTGATAAGCGGTTTGTTACATATGGGGGTGCTCTCGCAAGTGCCACGCTAGCACTTTGCATATGAATACAAAAAATGAATGGGCAAGGCACTCCACCCAAAAATCCTTCTAGTAAAGGCTCAAATGCCTGGGTGCAATCCCGCGTTCCAATATATATAAAAATCAATAAAGGGAGCACACCAGGACTTCAGTAAAGTGCAAAAAGTATTTACTGTATCCAAAACATGATACAAATTCTGTGTGGAGAGAATCAACGTTTCGACCCTGCCGGGGTCTTTATCAAGATCACAGTGAAATGTGGTTATGGTGAATAATATATACATACAAATAAAGTGTCGCTTACCAATCAGATAGTCGAGACCCCGATCAGCTACAGACACCGGAAGTGAGAAGACCACGTGAACAGTGCATATCATGTGACTGGGTTACTGAGTAATCTGAGTGATAATGCTACAAACAGAAGATCGGGTAGCCGGCGCCGCCGTGATACCCGGAAGTGCTCCAGACCACGTGGGGGTGGTCATGTGACAGAGAGTCATGTGACAAGGTTGCTAAGCAACCAGTCTAACAATGTCTAATTCTTCCTTCTCTAACCGGAGATCGAAGAAGCAGATAGCGAGTACTACATATGGAGGACAGAATCAAGTAAAAACCCCACTATAAGGATGATCTATAGGTGACAAAAAGTGCAAAGTGCAGAGGATCATATGCATGTGCAAAACAGTGAGAGGAATATATATAAACTACAAAGCAGATCAATCCCAGGTGGGGAATAGAAAGTCACTATTACATATACAGAATTCTAAATATATACATATATACATCAACAGTGCATTATACTGTGTTATAGTCTACCCAATAGTAAAACAATATATCTCTTATAAGTTTACTGATGTTAGGTCTATTGAAATCCAAGCAGGAGCATAAAATATACTACACACGCTGAAACGTCGATTTTTAAGGAAGGTTCAATAAAAGTTATTTTTTAATGAATCCGTGAGCGCAACCTTTGATACTACCAGTTATATACATAAGTATATACGTATATATGACTATATATACCTATATATAAATAAAAAAATTATATATATATATATATATACACACACACACACAAATATATACATATATATATATATACACACACACAAATATACATATACATATATATATATATATACACACACATATATACATATACATATATATATATATATACACACACATATATATACATATACATATATATATATATATACACACACATATATATACATATACATATATATATATATATACACACACATATATATATATACATATATATATATATATACACACACATATATATATATACATATATATATATATATACACACATATATATATATACATATATATATATATATATACACACATATATATATATATATGATACAGTCCTGAAGACTAATAGTCCAAAATATAGTGCACTATACAATTCATTTGTGTATGGATGGATCTGACCGATATATGGATGTTGCTTTAAAGCATGCACAGTAGGAGGATGCTGAAGTCTGTAAGTAGTGTATACCAGATGAGGGTGCCTTTCCATGCTTAAATTGCTCACACTGTAACAGTGTGATCAAGGGGGAATATTTTGTTCATCCCAAATCAGGCAAAAAATTTTATGTTAAAGAATTTTTCACATGCCACTCAGACTTTGTTGTATATGCTCTTAAGTGTCCCTGTGGACTCCTGTATGTGGGGGAGACCATCAGGCCAGTGAAAGAGCGGATAGGGGAGGATAAAAGGAGCATTAGGGCAGCATTACAACACAACAAAGTGGAGGCTCCGGTACTCAGGCATATATTTTGGACTATTAGTCTTCAGGACTGTATCATATATATTTTTTCTTTTCTTTTCTTTTTTCTTATATTTTTCTATTTTTTTATTTTTCCATTTTTTAAATGATTTTTTTTGGCATTTTTTGGATTTTTTTCCATTTTTTGGATCATCACCCATTGTAAATACACACAGCTCATGAACTTTAGCACAGGGAGGATTTTGGGTGTATATATGTATATAATCTATGTATATAGGATGAAATGAGTGTCATTATAATTAACTTCATGAATTTATCCAATAATCATTACAATAAATATTTTTGCAAGTAAATACAGGATTAGATTTTACTATAATCATTTTGAGTGCGGTATTCATAATTGTTTGTGATTTAGATTAGGAGGTTGTTGTAGGGTTAAACCTCGAATACCTGCACCTTGCATAATTGAGTGCCAGCACATATTGTGTTTTTGTAATTTGATTTATATGCTACTATTTCTTACAACTATATACTTTAAGGCAGCAGTAAATCGTACAAGGATTCCCCAAAACCTTGTAGGAATAGAGATACAGAAGATATACAAAAAATAGATAACCGCGCCTTAAAACACAGTAATGTACAAAAATGAAGTCAAATATAAATCATAGGTACATACTTTTTTGTTAAAAGTCTATGAAGTCTTTGGCTGTTATATAGATACATATTGCACCACTGGATATTTCAATTGTTGTCTTCACATATTCGAGACACAGATAAAGACTACCACCACTGAAGCTGAAAATATATCCAGTGAGAGGGATTGTACCGTCTATGCCCTACACAGCAGAGCTCTTTGTAGCTCTATAAATTGTGAGTGAGTTTTTGCTATAGCATGCTACTTCACGGTGTTAAAGACATACTGCACTATTATTGTCTCTTTTTCCTTGAGATACCATGCACTGTATATCAACTGAAGACTTCATAGACTTTTATCAAAAAAGTATGTACATATGATTTATATTTGACTTCATTTTTGTACATTACTGTGTTTTAAGGCGCGGTTATCTGTTTTATGTATTTGTACACTGGAAGAATGAGACATAGAGGGACCATTGAAGGTATGAGATACATGCAGCCACTAGGGGTATGAGACATATGAGGACATTGGAGCTGAGACACGTGGGGACACTGAGGGTATGAGACACATGGC